CAGATTTAATACAATTCCTATTTAAAAGCCCAATGACATTCTTCATAGAACTAGAAGAAACAATCATGAAATTCATTTGGAAAAATAAGAAACCCAGAATAGCCAAACCAATCCTTAGCAAGAAGAGTGAAGCAGGATGCATCACAATACTAGAGCTTAAACTATACTGCAGAGCCATAGTAACAAAAACATTATAGTATTGGCACAAATAGACACCTCGACCAGGGGTATAGAATAGAAGACACAGAGAAAAACCCATATAAATACAGTTATCTCACACCAGACAAAGGCACCAAGAACATACATTGGAGAAAAGATAGCCTTTTCAACAAACAGTGCTGGGAAAACTGGAAATCCATATGTAGTAAAATTAACTTAAACATCTATCTCTCACCCTGAACAAAAATCAACTCAAGGTGGATCAAAGATTTAGGCACTAGAACAAAGACCTTAGGCCTAATAGAAGAAAAAGTAGGCTCAAGTCTTCATCATGTCCCGTAGGACCTGGTTACCTTAACATGACTCCTAAAGCACGAAAAGTCAAATTAAGAACCAACAAATGGAATGGATTCAAAATAAAAAGGTTCATCTCAGCAAAGAAAACAATCAATAATGTGAAGAAAGAGCCTACAGGATGGGAAAAAAATCTTTACCACACACACTTCAGATAGAGCACTAATCTCTAGGATATATAAAGAACACAAAAAACTTTAACACCAATAAATAAATAACCCAATCAATAAATGGGTTAAGGAACTGAACAGACACTTCACAAAAGAAAAAATAGAATCTATCAACAAACCTATGGAAAATGTTCATTATCTCTAGTAATAAGAGAAATGAAAATCAAAACTACTATTTCATTTCACTCCATGGCAATTATCAAGAATACAAGGAATAATAAGTGATGGTGAAGATGTGTAGGAAATGGTACACTCATTCATACATTACTGGTAGGACTGAAAATTGGTGCAATCACTTTGGAAAGCAGTATGAAGATTCCTCAGAAAACTTGTAATGGAACAACCATTTATTTGACCCAGCTATCCCACTCCTCAGTTTATACCCAAAGGACTTAAAATCAGCATACTACAGTGACACATCAATGTTATAGCAGCTCAATTCACAATAGCTAAACTATGAAACCAACCTAGATGCCCTTCAACAGATGAATGGATAAAGAAAATGTGCTACATATACACAATGGGATATTACACAGTCCTAAAGAAAAATGAAATTATGGAATTTGCAGGTAAATGGATGGAACTAGAGAATATCAAGCTAAGTGAAATAAGCCAATCTCAAAAAAACCAAAGGTCAGATGTTTTCTCTGATAGGTGGATACTGATCCATAGTGGAGTGTGGGGTGGGGTTAGGGAAGAATGAAGGAACTTAGGACTGTGCAGAGGGCAGTGAGGAGAGGGGTGGGGCTGTGGGGATGAGAAGGACAGCAGAATGAGACATTATTAACCTATATACAGGTATGGTTACACTATTGGTGTGACTCTGCACCATGTATAGCCAGAGGAATGAGAAGATGTGCTCCATTTGTATACATAATGTATCAAAATGCATTCTACTGTCATGTATAACTAATAGAATAAATTTAAAAAATAGAAGGGAGACCAGTGGAATATAGGAAGGGCATCAAGGGGAAGTACTTGGGAATGAAATTGATCAAATTATACTGTTTTATTCTATGCATATATGAATATATTTTAACAAATTCCACCATTATGTATAATTATAATATGCCAATAAAAAGGAAAACATTTTAAACTATCAAAAAAAAATATACTCTTATGCTGAAGGATGTGTACTATGGTAGAAGAACATGCTGATATTCCTTTAGTAGAGACTGGCAATATGTGGTTAAACCCGGGAACTGCATCTGTTTGTTTTTGTTTTTGTTTTTTTTCTTTTTTGGGTACTGGGGATTGAGCTCAAGGACACTCAACCACTGAGCCACATTTCTAACCCTATTTTTAGTATCTTATTTAGAGACAGGGTCTCACAGAGTTGCTTAGTGCCTTGCTTTTGCTGAGACTGGCTTTGAACTCTATATCCTCCTGCCTTAGCCTCCAAGCTGCTGGGATAAAGGCCTGTGCCATTGCACCTGACTTGCATCTGCTTTTTGACTCAGCACTTGTAGGAATGTATTCTAGAAAGATATTCTAATAGGGAAGTAATATAATAACCATTGCAATTCACTGAAGCCGTGCTTATAATAGTACAAACTGGAATCCAACAATATGGACAGATTGAATAGAGTTTGCTAGAGTCATCTGATGGAATGACAAGCAGCCTAACTAAAAAGGAAAAGTTGTCTGTAAAAACCCATTGAGTGAAAAGAAGCAGAATATATGAGAGAATAGTTCCTTAATTCTAATTACGTTAATAACTCTGATCTTCAAGTTTCCTCTTCAGACCTTGAGATTGACATCTCTAGGTGACAATGACATCATATAGGTGACCTCTATGCACTATGAGGCAAATGAGCAAATACTCCAAAAGAAAAAGGAAGTTAAGCGCCCCTGGGTTCTAGAATCTTGGTCCATCAAATACCTGCCACCCTGTTTGTTTGTTTTTCAATATTTATTTTTTAGTTGTAGTTGGGCACAATACCTTTATTTTATTTATTTATCTTTATGTGGTATTGAGGATCAAACCCAGGGCCTCGCATGTGCTAGGTGAGTGTTCTACCGCTGAGCCACTACCCCAGCCCTACCCTGTTTGTTTTGATGCCCTCAAAGCGTTGCTTTTAATTCTTAAGTTTGGTCTTACACTTGCTTTTAACAGTAAGGTTGTTCTGACACAAACTGTTGTACAATAGCCAGAAGCAAACACCAAATTGGATTATATTTAAGTGCATATTAATTATTACTAAAATAGAAAATTGCTTTTAAGTTTTATCTGTTTTGTGGATATTGTTTTTTTTTTTTAAGTAGGGTTTTATCACCTGAGTGTGTTGGTGCACACCTGTAATCCCAGCTACTCAGGAAGTTAGGTGCCCCTAGATTCAAGCCCTAGTACAAAACAAAGGTGGTGGTGGGGGGGGGGGGTTGCATCATATTTTATATATTACTTAAAACATTATTTATAATCATTTACTTTTCTAAATGCTCAGTATCATTAATGATTTCATAAACAACCTTCAAGTTAAATGTTTTTTTATTCTAAATTTAATACAAAACTGAATTTAATCCAAAAGTATGCTTATTGTATTTTCAGATTATACTGGTACATATTTGGGGAAAAAATCACTTCACATTACAAACAAGTTTCTTTAACACACTGTGAATTAGGCATAAAAGTAAGTGAAAAGATCTATTATTTGAGTATCAGGTAGGAAAAAAAAAAAGAACTTAAAAGGGAGAGTTAATCTGGATGGACCAAGGTGGCCAATTTCCAAAGCACTAGCGAATCCACTAGTTGTCATCAGATTTAGAAATTCTGAATCAGGACTGCTTCCTAAGTGTTCATAAATAGGGAATTAGTCAAGTCCTCAACACTGAAGAGCAAACTTCTTTGCATCTTATGACACTCCTTTTTCCATTTCCAAATGTGGCGGTTGTCATCTATTCATTTCGTTTACACACAATGCATGTCTTCATGTTCTATGAGAAAAACAAAAGTCACCAGGTGCAGCTGCCACAAATTTCCATTCCCACATCAATAAGGTAAACCAAGTCACAAACCAGCCTTCTACTTTTCCCTCCTCTCTGTAGATTGGCCTTCATGCCTGCCTGGGCAATGACCATCTGTACCTAGATGCCATCTTCTCGTCTTCATAGGACACTTATTTCACCATTAGGCTGCTTCCTCCCACTTCTTCAGCCTCTGCTTTCTTGTCTCTCTCTCCCTTTTTTTTTTCCTCGCTGGACATACTCCCCATCAAGAGACTCTTTAGACTCAAATCTCCCTGTAATCTGATGCTTTTCAAATTTCATGCCTCTATTAGTGTATTGTAAAATAATTGAATGTTCACCAAAATATATATTTAGATATAATAGTATGAAACCTACAAATACGTGCAACATATATATTCTAAACAAGAACTTTCTAGGTTGTGGAAAATACTCCAGACAATTAAGTTGAGTGACAGCTAGTGGCAAGGGTGTAATGAGGGTCTGTGTTGACTGGGAACTAGCCAGCCATTTACTCTCCTGCTCACTGGTGGCCCATCTGATGTTTGAGATCGGACCATAATTGTATCAGGAAAGTTCATATTTTATGGTTTAATTTTATGTCATTATACTTTACAGTTAATTGGGAAATGAAGTTTAAAAGAAATTTGTCCTCTGTTGGCAAAGGCAGCAAGACTTTCCACCAAGATTTGGCTATGAGTTAACAACTTTCAATGTGGGTTTTGTTTTGTTTTGGATGAGGTACAATTTTTACAAGTGTTTAACTGTGATAATTGTACACATTAATCAAATTTATACAAAGTGTTCTTAAGAAGAATTCATTATTAGAAGAAATAAAGATGTAGAAATCACAGAAACCTGTTCTGTTTGAATTGCCAGATCTGGACGTGTATACAGTGACAACACAAGAAAAAAAATGTTTCTTCTAATATTCTTTCATATGAAAACTTGAGATCTCCCCAATTCCCCCCTGCCAAAAAAAAAAAATCTTGGAACTACAGCAAGCAAAACTTGTTGATAAGGCCCTCAAATATTTTCAAAGAAAGGAAAAAAAAGATATAACTTCATCAAAACAAAATTTCATATTGGTTAATGAAAGCATCATTTCATATTCTAATTGCATATGTGTGTGTTGTGAAAGAGAAAATTGCTTAAGTACTTGCTGAAAAAATTATTCTCTGCACACATGGATGAGATGAATATGATTCTTGATAAATCAGCTATGAAATTTACAACTAGACTTCTAGTGATAACGTTGTCTTAACAGATTTATCGTTCTACAGGACATATAGAATTGAATTAATACTTATTAGGCAGACAGATGGTGTGAGGCCACTTCAGAGCACTAATATTGTGCTTGCTTCAGCAGCACATGTACTAAAACTGGAACAATAAAGAGAAAATTAGCATGGCCCCTGCGCAAGGATGTCATGCAAATTTGTGAAACATTGCATATTAAAAAAGAGCACTAACATTTCAAGTGATTAACATGTTCACTTTATGCAAAATATATAGGACATGATGACTTTTATAAAGTGTTTTTGTGTTGTTCATATTTAATCTAGCACATAATTGGTTAAGTAATTTAATAGAATTGGAAAACACATTATATGAAAAACAGATTCAGCTGGAAAATTATAATAGAATTGCAAATTTGTTAAGAAGTAAACATAACCATAAAACATAGTAGGGTAATTAAAAGTATTCTTAGAAACTACTATTGATATTATTATTCAGAACCCATATTTCATACGTTCTAAAGATTTTGGTGTTCTAAGGATTCTACCAATCCTCCTAAACTTGAAAATGAGAGTAATGATAATTAAACAATTTAAGGAAATTTTCACTTTTCTGTACGTCTTGTTCCAACATTGGAGCTATGGCTGCGATTGGTAGTGTCTGACCAAGCCTTCCTCCCTTTGCCATAGAAACAGAACTGTGGCTGGACTCTGGGAGACTGGGATAGATTGTCATACACAGGCAGATTTCTGCAACTCTGTCTTCAACAGAAGACGATGGAAGAAGGAATTTATGTGACTTGGGCTCTGAGGCGTGGATTTCTCTATGTGCCTAGGGCCCATTCAGGTCACACAGATGAGAATAACTCCCTGTGGGATGGCAAAGCAGTAACATGCAAGCAGCACATTCCTGGAATGAGCTCCTGGACCTCTGCACCAACCTACACCACTTGGGCCTTAGTTTAAGTTAGAAATCAGTGTAACCCACTGTCTTGTTGGGTCTTTGTTAGAGCAGCTAAGCATTTCCATTTCACTAACTTACATATACATGATATCATAGTGAAGGTCGGGCTTCTACAAGCAAAGTACTAAGTTATATGAGCTCAGGAATGGGAGCCACACTTTTCTGTTGCAAAAGCAATCTCATTTGATTCACATTTGGAAGATATTTCAGCAAAAGTTAGCACAAGAACTCCTATTGTTGACATTGTTAATGAACTGAATTTGGATTTATAGGGATAAAATAATATATACTGCAAGGTGTTAGATATATGTAAAAGTTACAAAATACATTTAAAATAATCACCACAGTCACTATGTATCATCAACATTTTGCAACACATGAAGAAAACAGTATTAAATAGTGGCGTATAATTAAAGAGAATAATCATACTACAAGTCTCTACTTCAAAGTTTAATCATTTCCAAAAAATAAAAATGAAATATTATATGTAAAAATGTGGATGTGTAACCGATGTGATTCTGCAATCTGTATACGGGGTAAAAATGGGAGTTCATAACCCACTTGAATCTAAAGTATGTCAAGAGCTATGTAATGTTTTGAACAACCAATAAAAAAAGAAATATTATGGAAGGCATTTTGATAAATGATCCATTTGTTTTCCAAAATCCTGAAAAATCTATAGTTGAGTTAAAGTCAACTTCCAGGCTGGGGATGTAGCTCAGGGGTAGAGCATTTGCCTAGCATGCACCAGGCCCTGTGTTCAAGCCCCAACATCACCCACACATACACACTGATGCCGAAAGAAGAAAGCTAATAACTGCTACTTTCTTTGAATACATTGAAATGTGATTATAAATTTATCATCATTTTGGATTAAGATTAGAGAATTCTTATTGATGAATAGTTTATTGTCATTAATAATATCCACAAAAATTTAAATGTGTTAGCCAGAATTTTTAAGCAACAAAACTAAAAACATGGAAAAGAATAGGCATTAAATATAAATCGCCGTGAATATACATGTAACATTGTCCTCATACCCCAGCCTGGAATGATTTTAGGAATAGGCAAATGTGACTGCTGTAATAGTAATCCTTATGATACATAGTAACTATTGCTTTATAAATAAAACTTTTATTTCAGTTTTTAACCTATATATGTACACATGTGTATACTGGATAGCAATACAAAGCATGTTTTCCGCTGTGAGTTGTAGGGAAAATGTTCGAAGGTGTTCACTTTCCTTTACAGTCAACTTTAGGAGTGGGATATTTATTCACGTGATTCCACCTGCTCTTTGTCCTCTGCAGCCGGGCTCTTGCCCCAGGAACCTAACCCATCTCTCAAATCCATTCCATCCTTCCTTGTGTCTACCTTTGTCCTTTCTGTGACCGTTCATGTGTTTGCTGACTTTGAATCTCATTTTTATACCACCTTTTAAAAAATAACATTTTTGTAATTATAAAAGTAAAACTTTTTAATGAAAAATAAACTTACCCATAGCTTCACTGGAGATCATCACTGTTAATATTTTTATGTATTTCAGCTTTATATAGATTATGTATTTTAAATTTGTGTGTATATCTATATCAAATATTTAAATATAAAATTGGGGTGGTTTAGTGTACAGAAGTACATAGCAATTCACAATTTGCTTATTACTGCATATAGTAGAAACTGTTTTTTATATCATTCAGTATCTCTCTGTCCCATTATCCTAAAGCTACATAGTATCCTGCTCAGTGGATACCTCACAAGTTATCTCTCCATCTCCCTGTTGATGGACATGCGGGTAGTTTTCATTTGTTTGTAATTAAAAGAAGCATTGAAATGCTTGTACAAAAATCTTCATTCATTTCAATAATCACTTCCTTAGGATGAATTCTCATACGAGGGAATAACTGGGCCAGCACCATCCAGAGTCCCTCCAGGAATGTGACTGACTACAGTCCCACCAGCACCCAAGACATGAGAGGACCTTATTGACAGCTCCTTACTAACAATGGCATGAAAAATAACAGTTTCAAAGCACCAATTAAAAATAAAGCAATAAGGGCTGGGGCTGTAGCTCAGTGGTAGAGCGCCTGCCTCATCCGTGTGAGGCACTGGGTTCAATCCTCAGCACCACATAAAAATAAATAAATAAAGATATTGGGTCCACTATAACTAAAAGAATATTTTTTAAAAGTTTTTTTAAAAAATAAAGCAATGAATAGAAGGAAGGACGAGTAGAGCAGAGGAAGGGAAGCTGGGAGAAGAAGAGGATGGCAAAGAGGAAGCACTGGGAACTGAGGTGGAACAAATTATATCCCATGCATGAATGATGATGCCAAAACGAACCCCATATTACACAGAACTATAATGTACTAATAAAATCATTTTAAAAATAAATCTAACTTTTTAATAGATTTGTAATATATTTTGATATATGATATATTTGTGATGGATGTGTTTTTCTGAATAGTCAAATTGACTAATAAAAATAGCAGCTTACTTAAAAATTTGTGCTCTTGGGGCTGGGGCTCTAGCTCAGTGGTAAAGCACTTGCCTCACATGTATGAGGCACTGGGTTTGATCCTCTGCACCACATAAAAATAAAGACATTGTGTGTCCATCTACAACTAAAAATTTTTTTTAAGTTGGTGTTCTTTTGAGAAGCAGCTGCTTGTACAGTTTTTTTTTTTTTTTTTTTTTTTTGTAGGTTAATCATTTTATTTCTTCATTGATTTTTTTCCTTTCTTCCTTTTTTTTTTTTTTTTTAAAGTCAGAGATTGAACCCAGGGGTACTTAATCACTGAGTCACATCCCAGCCTTTTTTATATATATTTTATTTTGTGACAGGGCCTTGCTAAGTTGCTGAGGCTGGTTTTAAACTTGCAGTCCTCCTGCCTCAGCCTCCTAAACCACTGGGATTACAGACATTAGCATGGTGTTCGGCATTTTTTTTTTTAAATAGCAGTTTAGAAAAGTTATTTAAACCTTTATCTCTGACATTATCATAAATATTTCCTGGTTTGTAGGTTAAGTAAACTTGTGATTTTAATTATAAAAATAATAAATAATTTTAAATGGACTCAAAAATGTAAGTCTATATAAAATTAAAAGAATTTTCCTCTTTCTTCCTTTAATTTGTTTATTAATTTTGTATGAAACTTTTGGCTTAAAGTCTTTAACTTGCCAAATCTATTGAAATTTCTTTTTTCTTTTCTCTCCCTTTTCCTCCATACCCCTTCCCTGCTCCCCGCCCCAACCCTCTTCAGTTTCTGCCCTAGCTGGTTTGATAGAAATCTTAATGCACTAAGATAAGTGTATTCACTTACATTTTCTTCTAAACCTTTTGTGGCTTAGCATTTAAATCTAACTTTTTAATAGATTTGTAATGTATTTTGATATATGATATAGTTGTGATGGATGTGTTTTTCTGAATAGTTAATATGCAATTTTTAAAAAAATTTTTTAGTTGTCAATGGACCTTTATCTTACTTATTTATATGCAGTGCTGAGAATCGAACCCAGTACCTCACACATCCTAGGCAAGAGCTCTACCACTGAGCCACACCCCAGTCCCCCAAAATGTGATTTAACATTAATATACTATGTGCTATAGTGTTTGACTTTTTATTTATTTATTTATTTTCACTGCAAACCTTTCTTCAAATGATGGCTTCATTGGCTGTGTGGGTGATAGTTAGAGGGATTCGGGGGAACTGTGAATTTGCAAGTTTTGCCTCCTCAGTTCCCAGGACTTACAGTATCCCCTGCCTGCTGGACACCCTGCTTTGGCACTTTGGCACTCCTTTCCCTGGCTACCCTCCCAGTCCTTGGATTTCTGACTTCCTTCTAGCCTCCTCAGGTATTTACTCCTCTGCCAGTCACTTGACGGCTAGGGCCCTCCTACTCACAGCAACCAAACCCTAGGCATCAACAATGCTATATGCTTAATGACTTTAAATTCCTCCTTTCCATCATAGACCCCCATCCTGAGTTCCTATCCATAAGTAAAATGAGATACCCCAGAGGTATCTCATTTTCATTTCAACCTGACCATGTTTAAAACTGAACTCAATAACTCCTCCATTCCAAACTCTTCTTTTCCTTCTCTCTTCTTTAACTAGAGAATGAGGCAACTGTGGCCCCAATGTCCTACACAAGGAAACTGGAAATTGTCTCTTATGCTACCACCACTCCTCCATTAAATGCTATCTATTGCTTCTATGCTCTAAATGTCTCTTATATTTTCTTCCCACTTATAAAAGGT